TGTGTACCGTGCCCCTGCAACACAGTAGCTGGCCTGGGAAGCAGGCCTCGGTGTCCATCTCCTCGGTGTTTTTGTGCCTCAAAGTGGCCAGTGTGGGGAAATTGGGGGGCCTTCGTTGCTTGTTGGAAATATTTAGGGGGCTGCCAAGTCTATCAGAAGGCTTTATTATCATCCAGGTGAACAGCAGCATAGCCACGTCCTTCAAGGACAACCCCTGTAAGTCAGCACTGCCTGCTTGTGAGGCATACTGTGTGATGTCTCTGAACTCGGTCCCCTGCCRGGGAAGAGCACAGGATGCTGTCTGCCCGCTTTCTCCCAGGACTTGGGACTGTTGTGTACGCGGGTCACACGGTGAAACCTTATCTCTGTGGGGCTGGTGGCGGTTTGGCCTTGTGTTAGGTTCTGTTGGTGGGTGGCTGGCTTGATGGCTCTTACTTGCTGCCAGGGTGCCTCTGTGCCTCCCTTACTTCGCCATTTCTTTCTGGAATAAAGTGGTGGATCCTCTCTCCAAGTCCCGTTTGTCCACGTCTRTCCAGAGTTCTCTGAGTGATGCAGAGGTTAGCCCAGTGTTGGCCGGCTTTGTGACCTGGGCATCTGATGTTGGGAGACATTCCAAGTCCGTGCGTGCCTCGCTGTAAAATTAAACCGGATGTGAGAACAGGTTGTGACTTCCTAGCAGTGCAGAGGACATAGTTGACGTTCCCCACTTGAAGGAGAGCAGTGGAGGAGGGAAACTCCAGGACGGGGGTGTGATGAGGTGGTCTCTCCAGTGCTTTTGGTGGAAAGCTGGAGGAACTTCTCTTTCAGTGTTGGCAGGCAGTTGGATGAAGGTGTTGCTGGTGGGCTTTGTTGTTTGGGTGCTGGGATCGGCCCAGGGCCTGGCATCTGCCAGGCCAGTGCTGTGCCTGGAGCTGTACCCCAACCCCTGTTCCTGGTGCTCCTGGACATAGCTCGTGGCTAGGAGGGAAGGCTACTCGTGCAGAGGAAGGCTCCCCAGCAGTGCTCCAGGGAGGCTGGTGCCCGTGCTCCAGCCACACCTTACACATCGTCCACAATGTGTTTCCAGCATGTTCTGTGACTTTGAATCTGTTCCTTCCCAGTCAGACATGTTCGGCTATCTGCTCAGTGCTGGTCTGCCTGGGGCTCTCCTGGTGTGTCCATCTTCCTTTATGGGGTGGGTTTGGGGTTGATGCTGATCATTTACTGTTGGCACTATGTTTTTTTTCGCATCATTTATTTGTTTTTTCCACAATATCTTTATTTTTATGTGGTGCTGAGGTTCGAACCCAGTGCCTCACACATGCAAGGCGGGCACTGTACCACTGAGCTACAACCCCAGCCCCTCACATCATTTATTTGTATTAAATAAGGACGAATGGCCAAGGGGTTGTGCAGCGATGGAACAGCAGCCCCACTGGTCCCTGTCAGTGCTCCTCAGTGTGGTTTAATGAGGGTGTGGGTTCAGGAAGGTTGCCTAGTGCGGGCGCCTCACCTCTGTTGGTGCATGGTCATGGGAGAGTGAGCGAACACCTCTCAGTGTGTGGTAAGTTGAATATGTGCCCTGTTGTACTGATCACAAAACAAGAAACATTTTTTTTTTTCATACTGGGAATTGAACCCAGGGTTGCTTAACCTCAGCCCCACTTTCCCAGCTCTTTTTATTTTTTATTTTCAGACAGGGTCTTGCTRAGTTGCTGAGGCCGGCTTTGTACTTGCCATCCTCCTGCATCAGCCTCCCCAGTTGCTGGAATCCCAGGCATGTGCTACCACACCTGACAAGAAATTTTTTCACATGGATATATTTTTTTCTTGAGCACATAGTCTTGCTCACCCTAGGGGTACTTACACCCCACTTCAGAGACCCTTAAGTTGATGGTATCATTAAATAATGCATGAAGAGCTGGGCATGGTGGTGCACACCTGTAATCTCAGTGACTCTGGATGCTGGGGAAGGAGGATCTGAAGTTTGAGGCTAGCCTCAGTAACTTAGAAATTGTCTCAGAATTTTAAAAAAGGGCTGGAGGTGAGGCTCAGTGGTAGAGCACCCCTGGGTTCAATTCTCAGTACCAAAAAAAAAAAAAAAATCCCATGAGGTGTGTTTAAGAAAACTAACATAGGAACAGGATAGGAACAGGGTTAGAGTGATACCAGCAGCAGGACCAGGAAGCAACGCTGACTTGGAATTGGAGGAGTCAGATGGGAGGAACTTGCACCTGAGAGGCTGCTGTAGGTGCCTTGTGGCCTTGGGAAGATCACTGTGTTCTCCAAACTTTCAGCCTGACCAAAGAGGCTGGCTGTGAAGGTGAACTGAGATCATGCTGATCTGCGCAGACATGAGAGTGGTGCCTGGCGCAGGGCAGGCAAGTCACTGGTGGCTGCTGGGGTCACTGAGTGCCTCCTCTGTGCCTGAGCCTTTGCCAGGTACCCTGTGGTGTTCAGTGTGTAGGTCTGGATCTTGGGGCTGGTCCTTCTGTTCTGGCCGAGTCCAAAGCCCTCAGCTTTGCACCACCTGGGGCCTCCTGGCCCTGCCGAGAGGCCCCAGTCTGGGTGTGGCKGAGTGAGCTGGAATGTGGGGGAGGCAGAGGCAAGGTCTTGCCTTTGCAGGGGCAGGGGAACATCAGGTGACCAGCAGTCCTCCCAAGGCYGGGTCCCCACCCAGGTCCCCACCTCCACCCTCATCCAAGCCCAGTCACTGTGTGGTTTTTCACCAGGTCAGTTGATTTCCTGGGCTATTTGGACCGTACTGGGGCCACATCAGGGAGGGCTATGGGCAAGATCCGGGGCTGTCTGGCTTAGTGTGTCAGTGCTCAGATGCCCTCGGGGTGGGGGAGGCCCTTCCCTCCACTTCTGCTTCTTCCTGCCCTCTTGCCACCTTGCTGACTCCCTAGTCCCTTCAACTGCTTATGACAAATCATGTTTGTTAATGAGGCTGAGACAGATGCTTTTGGGAGCAAGGACAGTGACGGAAGCCACTGGTTGTCACTGGGTCAGGCACCTAGGTACTTCTCCTGGAGATGGGAGGGTGTGTGTGTTTCTGTCTAGGGGACAGAAACAAGACTGGGGCAGGAGAGATGGGGGAAGGTGGAAACAGGACATCTTTTTTGGTGTGTGCTGGCCTTGTTGCGGGCTTACTGACCATGTGTGTGTCCGTCATGGCAGCTGCTGTCCTGTGTGCAGGCCGCCTGGCGCTGTGCTGGGCTGAGGTGCAGGGACAGGATCYGCGTGCCTCTACGCTGTGTTGTGTCAGCACTTGGATGGGCTGGGAGGTGCTGGAGGTGCTGGAGCCCCAGGTTCCTGGGCCTTCCCAGATAGGAGGGATGAGGATGCACGGGCCACATGGTTCCTCAGTGGGGGTGGCAGTTGGATTGCAGAGTGAGGGCCTGCCCTGTCTGCCAGTGGCCATGGCATTGGCTCTGGGGTGGCCGGGGTGTTCCTGGAGCAGGACATGGCCCCTAAGCCCTCTGTCATAGTTTTGCAGTGTGTGCATGTCACCCCCACCTGGTCTCTGCAGAGTGCCCTGGGGCTCATTCATCTGCATTGGGAGTTTGGAAGGGTCTTGTCTCCCTCCCTCATGTGGCCCATTTATTGTCGCCAGCACTGGGAAATTGGCCCTCAGAAGCTCATGAATGTGAACGTGACCGACGGTGAGGTTCCTCCTGGGGAGAGTAGGGTCTTGAGTGGAAGAGGTGGGATCGAAGGGTTGGGGCTCATCTCTGCTATGAGCTGGACTTGGGGCAGTGTTTGGTGGTAGCTACCTGGTGCCAATGACATAAGCCAAGTGATGGCCAGCCATGCCCAGACCTTGGTCCAAGCCTGGGGAAGAAGGAGGGGAGGTCAGTCCAGCCCTGTCTGGCAGGCCTGAGAGGCRTTGTTAAGCACCTCCTTGATATCTAACTTCAGGTATATTCTGGAATTTTCTCATGGTCCTGTTTTAATCGCCCTGTGACTGATCTGAAATGGGAGTCGACTCGCGCTGTCTCCTAAGGCTTGTGTGTTCATAYAGACATTGCTGGTTGCTGATCAGCTCCAGTGCAGCTTTGAAGCCTCAAGGAGGCGCTCGTGTGGAGGCGCGAGGCCCTGTCCCCCTCTTCCCCCTGCTCCTCCTCTTCTAGGACCCCGTCACACACTCYTCCAGTTGACCTGCTTGAACGGGGCAGGTTTAATTTGGGTTTCTGGGCGTTGGTGTATTCTTTTCTCTTCCCATTGACCGTGGACAAAGATTTTTTTTCTAATAAGATATGAAATTTTTTCTTTTTTGTGTGTGAAATAAATCCTCCTTTAGAACATTTGGCATAAGTGAAGTGTGAGGTTTTATTCACTCAAACCTAGTACAGGAGGACTGGGGGTCGTTGCAGAAGCAATCTGAATGCCAGATTGGGAGGAAAGCTAAGAGCAGGCCCATCTTGGAGGTGGTCACTGGTCAGCCAGGGCCTCTGAAAAGCAAGAGGTTGGGTCACAACTCCAGGGTGCCTTCCTGCTGGCCTTCCACAGTGTGATGGGGGAGGTGACATGTGGTGACGGGGATGGGGAGCATTTGTCCTTGGAGTTGGGAGGTGGTGTTGGAGTGTGGAGTGTGATGCTGGGCAAGTCTCCTGTTGGGGTTCTGGTCTCTGCAGCAGGGTGAGCACCCTCTGCCTACATCATGTTGGGGTGCATGTTTGTGAGGAAGGAGTGTGGCAGATTGACATGTGCACCTCCAGAGGCTGGTGCTCTGTCCCCTCAGGGACAAGCTGGGGTCTTTTATCAGATACTTGGGGATTCAGAATGAATCCAGAATYCTTTGCGTATCTGGCTGTGGAGCCTCTTCTGAAGGCAGCTGAGGCCCCAATTCCCATGTGATGTGCAGTTTCATGGGCAAGATGCTGTCACACCAGGTGGTTGTATGCACTCATGATGGGCTCTGGAGCCACTTTAAGAATGTAGGCTCCCCTGGGCCCTAGAGCTGGCTAAGGTGCCAGTGCTTGGAACATGGTGTTCTTTGACAAAGGCTTTGAGCTCACCCTGCTCCGTGTGGCTCTTCAGGACCAGCCTGGCTGCTTCCTGCAGGGATTTGGGGAAGCTGTTGGAGGGGCAGAGTTGGGGAAGGAGGTATCTTGTGTCACCCAGCAGGCGGGCTCTGGCCGGCTCAGCTCCCATTTAGGATTTCATGGCAAAGGGATTAACCTGACCCAGGAAAAGACTCACCTTTGGCTTCTTCCCAAAGGATGTCCTGAAGAAACTTCCTCAGGGCCCGGCTGTGCTGCTGGTACTGAGCCCCAAACAGCTTGATTGCCATGTCAAAGGGAGCATTGAACTGGGGATAGAGCAGGGACGTCAGGATCTCGTCCGCCCCTCTTCCCAACATGTCCCCTCACTGGAGGAGGCTGGGTTCTCCTGGCTGCCATCTTGAGGACGTTCACCAGCCTCTCTCATGKATCCTGGCCCTAGCCTCAAGGGGTCTCCTAGAATGCTTTCCCACCCCCTTATAATTTGGGCAAGATTGAATCACTGGTGGTGGTCAGGCCTGTGGGGAGGTTTGGGGGGCAGGGTGTTTCCAGCATGCAGGCCACTAGCCTGGCTGAGGTTCTGGCCCCACCTTTCTCTTTGCTTCCTTGTGCTTCCTCCTGCTCCTCCCCCAGCTGCTCCTCCCCCAGGCCCAGGAAATGAAACTGGCCGCTGACTTTTTCCCAGAAAGATGCTCCAGGCCAGATCTTTTCTTCTTGGGGGGAGACTGTCCTCCTTCCCTGTTTCCAAGCCATCTTCTGGGATGGTTTACTGGGGCTCACACCCTCTGGGGTAGATGGGAATGAGCTACTTTTGTGGCTATATCGTAGATCTCTCTGGAGAGCAGGCACGGTACTTTTCTCTTTGCTGGTGGTCACCTTGGTGCCTGGCTGTGGTGGTCACCCAGTGTCTGAATGGGTGGGTGATGGAATCTTAGTGCTGGAAGGGAGCCCGGGCTAGTCCTCACAGCAGGAGCCCAGAGAGGCTGAACAGCCTGCCTGAGGCCACAGAGGCAGACGAGGGCAAGGACTAGAGCCAGACCTAAGACCCACCCAGGCTTGAGTCCATACCAGGTGGGCTCAGGTTCCCGTGTGGAAAGAGGCTCTGGGAGTGGCCACAGGGAATGGCTGCCCCTTCCCTCTGCAGATTTGGTCTCACTGCAAAGCTGAGTGGGGTGCAGGGCTGGTTTCTTTAGGGACTGGGGTCTTCAGGTCCCTCCTGTCCCTCCTGCTGATAGACCAATTTTTTTCTACCCCTGTGACCACTATGTGTGGTCAGGTCACCTTGCAGTCCTCTTGGGAATCGAGGGGTGCTGATTGTGGGATGCCAGGCTGCTGTGACATCGGGATGGTGTAGTAGGGGCAGGTGTGAGGTGGACTGGCTGCATGAGACCTGCGATAGCCCCTCAGTGTTGGTCCTGGTTGTCTGTCTCTCCAGTGAAGGCGGGGCTTGGTCGCAGAGGTCTGAAACCCGATTCGAAGAGGAAGGGCAGTGCCCAGAGGGAGGCCCAGTCAGGCACACCCAGGGCCACCCAAGGCCACCCAGGGCCAGCAGCTGCTCTGGGCTGCCCCAGCCCCCTCTGGGCATTCCTGGCTTGGGCTCTAGTTGAGGTAGGTCTTTCTTCCAAGGCCATGTTCATGTCATTCCAGACCCTGTCCCCATCTGCACTAAGGCAGAGAGCTCCGCTGACTGGGTGGCTGTCCCCCAGCTGGGGCTGGCTGAGCCACAGGAATGGTTCCTGGGCTTGGCTGAAGGATTCACGCCATTCCCTTAGGAGCCTCTGGGRCTGAGAATACGCCTGGGTCCTAGTGAGGAGCAGAGAGGGATTTGGAGAGCTTGAGGTTGTCATTGGCCCTTGACCAGAGAGAAGGGTAGGAACAGGTAAAGGAGGCCGAGGGGAGGACTTGCGTCCTTGTTTCTCAGGTCGCAGAGGCCACTCCTAGGCCATCATGTTCCCTGTGTGGTCGCCAGATCCAGGAGGAGGAAGAGAGGAGGGCGGGGCTGCACCCAGTCCTGACCTCGGGCTCCATCTCTGCCACGTTGGCCCTGGCACCTTGGGCAAGTGAGTTCACCTCTCTGAACTTCTGCTTCCTGTCTGCATAGTGTGGATTTTAGTGTCACCTTGCTTACCCCACAGGTTGTGGTAGAGATTAAATGGCATGGAATGAGGGAGACCATGGCTGGGGTGCAGCTTCGGGGGTAGACCCCTGGCCTGGCATGTGTGGGGTCCTAGGCTGGATCCCAGCATCACAAAAAAAATACAACAGTTGTTGGAGGAGATCACAGCTCCAGGCACAGCTATACGGTAACTGCCATCWGGAAGTACCCCAGAAGAATCCCAGGGTAGCTCCAGAGGGGTGTCCCCCTGGGCACGGACCCCCAGCCAGCCTGGGGAGGTTGCACCAACTGGCCCTGTAAAATCCCGTTCTCCCTCCTTGCCTGGAACTGTCTCAGGTCTTCCTTCTCTGTGCAAGATATGTGAGAGCAAAGACCAGCCCGCCCTGCTCCGTCCTTTCTGCAGGTGAGGTCAGTGCCAGAGCCTGGGCTGGCAGCCAGCTCCCCTGACCAGGGTTCTGTCTGGAGCACTCCCGCCCACAGCTCTTACTCCTGGTGCCTTGGCTCTGTGCTCACCAGCTGCCTCTGCAGCCTGCAGACCTCCAGCACCTTCTCTCTGCAGTTGGGGCGGGGTGGGCTCCTCACGTTCCCACGCTCTTGTGGCAGGTACTTGGCGACAATATTCTCTGACCAAAAACCTTGTAGAGCCCAGTGCAAAGCTCAGCTATCTCGGTGCTGATTTATAGTTATAATTTATAATCCTCGAGCCCCTGTTCTTAGCTACCTGTTCCTATCCTGGCCCCTTCCCCTGCTTCAGAGCCACAGATGCATAAAATGCAGAAGCACCAACCCGGATCTCCAGCTCGTCCTCTGCGCCATCCGCCTGGTCTGTGTCCTCTTGGTGGAGCCAGCCATCGATAGCTCTGGGCTGCAGTTTGGCTGGTGGCTTCTTGGACTCCTTTCTTTGCTGGAGAGGAGAGAGTTCTGTTTGGGTCCTGAGCCCCCTGGCCGCCCCCCCCCCGCCCTTCTAGAAACGGAATCAGGCCAGTCCTAGAGTCCTCTTTTGTGCTCTGGGAGAGGCACAGGCCTGGAGAGGTGGAGCTGCTGCCCCAGGTCACGTGACTGTTGCTAAGTGGGGCAAGACCTTCCTTCCCCCATCAGAACGTGAGCTTTGCAGCGGAGGCGCTCACCTAGGCTTTCTGATGTTCGGGGCTCAGGAAGCTGGAGCCTGCCATGGCCACGTCCACCCAGAGCACACTGAGGAGCAGCAGGCTGCAGATGGTCCCCGCAGAGAACATGGCTTCAGGTAGCCCTGAGGGAGAGAGGGTTTCCAGGTTGCCTGTCTCATCCMCTTGATGTGCCTCAGAATTGTTTGGGAAGGAGCCCAGCGGACAGGTGAGGGGACTCAAAGACCTGAGTGGTGACTGTGAAGTAGGGAGGGTCTCCCTCTTTAAGGTTGGGGAGAAATAAAGGTTCTGTGAATCTTGGTGTGGCAAACACTTGGGGTGTCCACCCCAGTGCTGGTCGTCCCAGTCCCTGATGATGAAGCTGAATCAGCAGGATCTCCAGGGGACAGCCTGGGATTGAGGCAGCTTTTAAATAGAGCGCTGTCCCTGAGCTGACCTTGACCTTTGACCTTGGTTGTCCTTCTCCCCTTTGTGAAAATGGGTCTGCTGAGCCCAGAGAGGTTAAGCAGATGGCCAGCGGGCACACAGTAAGGCAGACCTGTAAGCACACACAGACATAAAGAGGAATGAGCCTACCTGGGATTCCTGGTAAGGTGGTGCCCAGGGGCCCTCTGGTCCTTATATAGCAAACCTGGTGTTTGTTTTAATCCAGCGACCTCATCTCAGAGGCAGCTGGCTCCTGTGTGGGCTGACGGACATTCCTGGGGAACTAAAAATGTTCATGTCCTCTGGGTAGAATCAACAGTGGAGGTGACCTGCCCTGCAGATTGCTGGGTTGGCCCAGGTGGGACTGCTTCAGCTGCCTGGCCCTGGGGGAGGGGAGGGGAGGGGAGGGGAGGGGAGGTAAGGTGAGGCAGGGGCCGGGCTTTGCTACCCTTGACCCGTGACTAGGGATGAGGTGCTTGCTGCTCCCTTAAGAGCAGGTGTAGGGTGGCTTCGTCTGTGGCCACACTTGGTGTTTTCCTGGTAGTACCAGAGGCTCTGGGCTTGGGCTTGGCCTTGGCCTTGGTCTTGGCAGTTGCTTTTGTTTCCTTGGAGGCGCTGGGGACGGACCACCTAGAGCTCCATCAGCCACACTCCATCCCCTAACAGCTCGCCTTCCCCTGAGGTTGTGGTCCTGAGGGCGAGGGGAGGGAGACTGAGTGGACCTGGGGAAGTCCCTAGCCCAGCACTGGTGCCTTCCTTGTGAGTTGTTTGGCCCCAGGCAGATCCTGGGAAAGCCACACAGGCTGCGCAGCGCTTCTGAACCAGGCCCACAGGACTTGCAAGCGGGTGCCAAGGCCACTGCACCATCAGCCCAGGAATTCCTCACTCCCCTGCTTCCTGTAGATGCTGACAGCTGCTCCCCAGGGTCCAGTGAGTCACCTGTGCAGAAGTCTCACTGTTGAGAGGAGGGACTCACTTCATTCTGGGGCTTGGCTACGGTGGGAAGCTGCGGGAAGGCCAAGTGGTGGCCTGGGGCAGCCTGGGATGCTGAGTSCTGTGCGGGAAGGTGCAGGTGCCGAATGGGCTGTGCGGCAGCAGGGCTTAGTGATAAAAGTGCTGGACGTGGTTTGAGGTCCTGTTGGGGTGGCCTGGAAGACTGCTAGTCTGAGAAGTTTGAGCTCTGTCTGTGGGAGGGCGGCCACGGAGCCTTTGACCTGGGAGAGCCCAAACCATAGCATGGATGAAAGGGTTGAGAAGACTTGAAAGCCCCTGGAGCCTGAGCCCTTTATTTTACGGGGAGAAAACCTAGAAAGCAACAGGGCTGCACTTTGCCCAAAGCCGTGCAGATCTGGGACAAAGCCAGGACTCCTTCCTCGTGATGTGGTGCTTTCCGATAGCCATCTGCTTCCATGGACCATGGTGTTCAGGAAGATGGTCTGTTCCGAGTAGGACTGGGGCAGGCTGTCCAGTCAGGAGGACAAGGACAGCGGAACAGACAGTTGCCAGGATCCACCCTGACTTAAGAGGTGGCCTTCTGTGGGGATTGGGCCCTTGTAGAGACTCGGGCAGGAGGTGCAGGCTGGGCTGCATCCCTAGGGAGAATGTGGGGGCTAAGAAACTCCTAGAGAGAAACTTTGTCATCTACCAGTGGTGGCCGACATCCCCACGTCCCAACAGCTCCTGTGCTTTCACAGCCTTGACATCACCTGAGCCAAGGAGGGGCCAAAGGTGGAGATGGAGAGAACTCTGGAGGCCTTTGAGGCCTGTGGGTTTTTCCAGAGCCATTTCCGCCCCAAACACTCCAGAACAGACAGTGCCTGACCATGGCGACCCGGGCACCTACAGGGGACAGGAGCCGGCTCACTGTGTTGATCTTAGATAAGGCCACCCCCAAGCAAACACCCCCTGCTGCTCTCTTATCTCTGGGGCACTAAGAGGTGGCAGGGGTTGAAGATCCAGGTGCATACCACAGGGTCCCCGAGGAGGATGGGGAGGAGGGAAGAACAGGGATTAGTGAGAACATGGGAGACGCCCAGGAAGCACTTCACGCCTCCCCCATTGTAGAAGTGGGGTACAGCCTGACTGGAGAATGCAGATCTGACCCAGAGGCGTGGGGAAGACCGTGTGACTGGGGGGGTCCAACATGTGGCTGTTTTCTTGCTCTTTTAAGTTTGGATAATAACCAAGACTCATTGGGCAGCTTTCTGAGAGTGGGGACCTGACCCGACCCAACTGGACCTGGCTTTTTCCTGGAACTTAGTAGGGGTTTAGTGTTTGCCCATGTCCTTCCTGTGGCCGCTTCCTGGAGCCTGTCCTTAGTGATTGCTGTGTGTGGCTGCCTCTGAGAATAGGTTACCTGTGCTCACTCCTCACTGCAGTTTCTTCTGTTCTGATAATTACTTGGTTGTAGGAAGCACGTTTGTTTTTTAACCAGTTTGGCCAATCGGCCTGAGGCTGATTTGGGGGTTATAAAAGAGATGATGATTTGAGTTAGGTTTTTTTTGGTGGGCACCTATGACTTCTAGAACAGCATTTTCCAATAGAGATGTAATGGTATTCTCGAATGAGTTTTATGTGTGATTTAAATTTTTCTAAGAGCCACATTTAAAAATTCAARAAAGAAACAAGTGAAATGAATTTTAATAACCATTTTACTTAACCACTACATCTAAAATATTATCACTTAAAGGTATAATCAATGTAACAAATTCATTTATTTATTTTTTGGTACTGGGAATTGAACTCGGAGCACTTAACCACTGAGCTGCATCTCCAGCCCTTTTAAAATGTTATTTTGAGACAGGGTGTCACTTAAGTTGCTTAGGGCTTCAGTGAATTGCTAAGGCTGGCCTTGAACTTGGCATCCTCCTGTCTTAGCCTCCTGAATCACTGGGATTACAGGTGTGTGCCACTGTCTGGCTCAGTGTAACAAATTTATTAATGAGATAGCTTGACTTTTTAAAATTAGTCTTTGAAGCCCAGAGGGCATTTTATTCTAGTGGCAGATTTCATRTTGTCAGTGGCTGCACGTAGGTCCTGGCTACCAGGCTGGACAGTGCTTGTCCTCGTGTCCAAGCCAAGCCTCCCACTGGGCTTCCCTATTCAGGCTGTCTTGGGATCGTAGCCCCAACAACTTGAAATGAYAGGTCCCCAATCTTGGAGAAGTCTAATTGACCCCAATCCCGCCTTCCCCTCAYATCACCACCCCAAGCATCCATTCCTTTCCCTATGTCCACTTCCTTACTGGGGACTGACCCCTCACCCTGTCACCTGATTCCCCTCATCACTGTTCTCACAGAGGTACTGGTGATCCACACTGGGGCCTGCAGAGCTGAGTTGGGACTCACTGGGCTCAGTGGGGAGCTTCTAAGAAAGCAGATTGGTAAGATCTCCTCCTCAGATTTGGATCCAGGAGGTCTCTGGAGCAGGCCCCAGGATCAATTTTAACAAGTATTCCAGGTAATTCTCTTGTGAGTATAAAATAATACCTGTTTTCTAGCAGAAGATTTGAAGGTGTGTATGTGTGTGTGCATGCTCTTTCTGGAAAATTTCAGACCTATAAGAGTAGAGCACAATATGAGGAGTCTCCAGGGCTCCACATCCATGTTTTCTGTCTCCAGTATGGCTGTTGCTTTCTCAGGACCCTACTTCTACCCCTGTCTTGTGTACTGGGCCCTGCACGGACTCAAAGGAAGCAGGGATAACACGGTTTTGGCTCTGGCTGATAAGGAATGGTGCCACCAACTCCAGACTCTACCGGGATCAGGGACAAAAAGGACCAATTAAAATTATTTTTTAAATAATGGATGGAACCCAGGCCCTTGCACCTGCAAAGCTTGTGCTCTCTGGCTGAGCCACACCTTGGCCTCAGAAGTGTTTTGAAAGCAAATCCAAGCATGGTGTCAGCTCATCCTTGGAAATAGCTTGAGTCAGGATCCAAAGTCCAGTTTTTGTTGAGACACTTCCCCTCCTCCACCCTTCCATTTCAAATCATTTATTTTTAAAAAAGTTGTTTGTCCTGTACCACGTCCCACACTTTGAACTTTGTTGGTTGCTTTCTCATGGCATTGATTAACTTCTGCCCCGCCCCCAGTGCTTTCTGGAAACTGGCAGCTACACCTGTTCCTGGACACTTGGACTCACCCCTTTTAGTGTGAAAACATCTTCCTGGTGCTATGAATCTACCGCTGTGCCGCTGTTAACATTGGCTGGTTCTATTTTTCTTAAGGATAATTCACGGGCATCACCAGATCCATGCTTGTTGAGGTTCCCCATTATTACCCTTCCACCTAAGGGTCTTACTACCCTTGTCCACACCCATGATTAGGGGTTACAGATGGCCTAGCGCCCTTCCGTGTTTATTAGCACTTTTTCCTTCAGCAGTTACTTTATTACCTGGATATACAGGAAAGGCAAGACAATGGCTTCATCATTTTTCTACTTAGGAAGTGCTAGAAAGCCAACCTTTGAAAATTACTGTCATTTTCCCATTACAAAGTCATGGGTTTTTATKTATGTTCTGTTTCAGTTAATTAGAGTCATTGGTCTTTTTGATGCTTCCCCATTTGACTAGTGGGTTCCTGGGTGCTTTGGGCAGTGACCCCAGAGTCTCTTCTTTTTTCCTTTAGTACAGGGAATTGAACCCAGAGTGTCCAACCACTGAGCCACATCCCCAACCTTTTTATTTTTTGAGACAGGTTCCCCCTATGTTGCTGAGGCTGGTTTTGAACTCAGTCCTCCTGCCTCAGCCTTTTGAATTGCTGGGATTATGGGTCTGCGCCACCATGCCTGGCTCCCACAGTCTTTAATAGCTTTCTTGCTTTCTGTCCCAGTAAGACATCTTGGGCCCATTTTGTGCATTTTCATGTCTCAGACCAAAAATCAACACCCCCCCCATACCTTTTCTTCCTTTTAAGGAAGACTTGGTTCCTGTCAGTGGCAAATAGTTTTTAGAGACCACAATCTAGGTGTCACGTTGATACCAGAGAGGTAAAGAGTGGCATGAGTTCATGTCTGCAGTTCTACTTTCCATAGTTTGAATCACCTCAACTTTGATCTGAAAATACTACATGGAAAATTCCAGAAATATGTATTTTCTATAATTTTGTTTCTATTTTGAGCTGGGGTCTCATTGTCATCAGGCTGGTCTTTCAAACTTGGGCTCAGGTGACCCACCTGCCTCCGTTGTAGCTATAACTATAGTCAGATGCACCCAGATGCACGTTTTAAATAACTTCTGAACATTTTGAATAACTTCTATTGCATATGTTATAACTGTTTTAGTTTTCATTATTGTTGTTAATCTCTTATGTGCCCAGATTCTACTTGAACTTCATTAGAGCTA